TTGGTTAGGTACGTATAGTTAGTCGTGGCGGTAGGTAGTAGGTAGTAGTATATATATATATATATATATATATATATATATATATAATATATATAATATATAAATATACAGTTTGCGAATGTAAACACACATAACTGGATATGACATTGTTGGCATCTATCAGTCCTGCATTTTTGTTGCCCACCAGATGCTCCTCATAAGTAATAGTTCGCAAGAGCCGTTGCAATAGCTGTTGCAATACCGATTAGTATAGTAATTGCGCCTTTACATCCTCGGGTGCATCTTTCCACTATGTAACTATGCCCATATTAGTGGATATACCTTGTATAATTAGCATCACACACTCGTTCCAGAACTGTCATCTGCATCATTAGGTGCATACCCTAGAACATAACTCACGCCGTCCGTACGGTACTTCCTACAACGGTACATCGCGCGCTGGAGTCTTTTGAAGATACTTTTGTTTCGGGCTGGGTCATTTCCGACCCTCAATCTGGTATATATACATATTCACAAATGTAATGCTTATCCAGATATAAGTACATACACCCACTGTCTTGGGATGTCATTCGTATTCTCATAATACTGTAAAATAGCCCAAACCACTGCCACGGCCATGCATACACTATGGGGTGTGCGTGATGAAGTGCCCTAGCGAGATCGTATTGGTAAGCATTGGGCACGCAGGTGACCAAACCCAACCAACCCCAACCAAGCTCGCTGTAAAGCGGCTATAAGCGCAGCACCATTGGGCGTCGATGTGCTGTCGAGGTTGATGCGTTACTTGTTGGTCGTATGCATTGGTCACCCTTTTGCTCATGATTAATGTGTCTCATGGGCTAGCTGGGGATAGCAAAAGGAAACAGTCGTGAAGTGATGACTTAACTAGTTCGTTGCACCATGGCTGACACAGCACCGATGTGTATATATACTGTCAGGTGGGGTGTCGAATCGCATGGAAGTATTGGTGCACGAATAAAAATGTATGTTAAAAGATTATCAATGAAGGATGTATGTAAATATATTATCAATGAAGAATGTATGTAAAATATTATCAATTAAGAATGTATGTAAAATATTATTAATAAAGAATGTATGTAAATATATTATCAATGAAGAATGTATGTAAAGTATTATCAATTAGGAATGTAAGTATATTTATTATATTAATAATCTCAATCAATGCAGGAGATCGTTGGCGGGATGCTGGATTTAGAGCCTCGAACGTGGCTGAAATGGCACAAGGTATGCTCACAGCAGAACGACGTCTGGTGCGACCAGACTGTGGTTTCCTATCAGCCACATGCTGGTATATGCACGTGACATCGTTTATAAACTATGCTCTTATTAGTGTCCATTCTAATGTTGCAATGGCTGTGTTAGTCCTCCGTTGTGGTTATAAATGATCACACCCTAGCACCGTCTCGACAATGGTGTCGATTTCCACAACAATACCACTTAACTTATAACATTGTCATGTTTCATATCATCGTGCTTGTAGGAATCGTTCGAGAAGCAGAAGCGGAAAGTGATCGAATTCTCAAAACTATGGCAGCCGTTTGATTGGACCCAGACTCTTGGCGATGATTAGTGGCTCAGGCAACATTACCTGAGTATGTCTGGAGCAGGCGTGACTGATGTCCGTACCACCTATATGGTGGTATATGCCCATGGTCAGTGACAGCTACCACAGTTACCACACCGAAAGCCCGTGCTCTACGCAGAGTGATGATAATTTTATAAATAATTTAGAAGTATGTATGTATGCTTGAATTATTTATAATCTATCTCGAATAATCACAAAGGTTTCGCGATATACTATTAGTATATTCAAGACTATTCATATCATGCCATACAACAGTAGGTAAGACTAACCATACCATTATTAGTATATTTGTGACGGAATACATATCGAAGGGACTATGCCAAGGTGTGACCTGCACAACACTACTGAAGTGCAATGCACGTGCAGGGTGGCACTTGGCGGCCTGCGTTGTACCTCAAATACATCGTCTGTATTCAATCGGACATCCTGCTTAGGGTATTGATCTGTTTCCGTTTGAAATAAATATAATAACAGATGGGTTATGCCACAGAACACTCAGGGGTTTATTTATATGGTTTCATCCTGCATTGATTGATAATATGACCATCTGCAGTAGTTCACCAGTTGTAATTAAACAAAACACTATAGGATCGAACTCTCAACTGACTTGCAGAATTTCAAGTATTTATCAACATCAGTTGATGTATTTAACTTTATGCCCACTTGTTATTAATAAATGAATTCCGTAGCCAAATTGTGTAAATAGAGAGAAAACGCGTCAAACATATTTGGTAACAAACAGCTACAATGTAGCAATCGTCTGAACATTATTTAATCTACATATGCGATTTACATTTAAAATTATATGTAAAGTGAACTAAACATCAAGCGAGATGACCGAGTTGGTTAAGGTGCTAGCTTAAGGTAGGGTAGAATTTCTACCCAATAATACGCTAGTCTCTTCGGAGGCGCGGGTTCAAATCCCGTTCTCGTCATATTTTTCCGCCTGGCCTTTTTTCAATACTTCTTGAACATTGCATACACGTCTTTCCTATTTATATTCATTTCTCCTCTCGAACACGGACAGATTGTTGTTGTTAGAGTTTTTAAGAAAGATAAAACTTGAATAGCGCATACTCGTCTACGCCTTCGATACTTATGTATGTTCCCTTCTTCTCTCAAAAACAGACAGAGAGTTGTTTTTTAAGAGTATAGTGGAGATGCTTCGCATCTAGGTGGAATACAAATATATACCACCTTATTCTTCTGGGTTTTTAGAGAGACTTTAATTCGGTGTATTTATTATTTATATCTACGTGTACTCCCATTAATTTTTCATGGAGAAATTGTCGCTGGAAATAGTTTCATGGCACACACTGCGCTGTATTTGTACACTATGAATTTTATCATGCTGCCTCAATAAATAATGCAGACAGTATAGTTTTGATTTCTTCGACCTTAGTCACCTTCTGTCAATAGTACAAGAAATCAGGTGGTGACTGCGAATGGGGAAAGAAACTAAGAACCTTACACGACACTATATTGACTTATCAGATAGTTCAATTTGACACAATATCATTCCACAGCAAAAGAGACTCTAAAGTACGTGAAAAGGCTATAGCTGATAATAGCGGAGAAGAGAAAAGAAAAGCAGCAACTTACAGTGACCGCGACGATCTGGTTCTCATATATGATATGCGTAATATGCCAAGTATCTTCCCCCCCCCGGTCAAGAGACCTATGATACGGTACATTTTGACTGCGCGTGTATGTCAAAAACTTTTATAGAAAATTTCGTCACACTTTTTTGTTATCATACCGATCAGATACACTTTCTCTATTTTTATAGCTATTTCTTTATATACACATACCTTCATCCTTCGTGAATTAGTTTGGTACATGCATCCGGTAGTCGTTGTGTTGTATCCGTCAGAAGCGGCGGTGCTATACACACATACGTGCATGGACATTAGCAAACAGTGTTTCGGCCGCAAGATTAGACCATCCCGGCTTTGATATTGACTATAGCTATACCTCATTGACTGTGGTAGACGAGAGCTCGCTGAATTGACCGTGCCACTTAAGAATAATACCTGCATTACAAATACAGGTACAAGTATATGTACGTGTATAAATAGCATATCTTTAAGCCACATGTATATGCAGGTATATACAAGTATATATAGCGTACATCGAAAACAGAGGGGTCTTAAATTACACAAACCATATATCTAAACCAAACAAGCCTGCAACTCTCATAGGCCACTGGTTACGTTGAGTTCAATGCTAGAACCCAGACTATGATATATGATATGAACGATATATTTTATCAAGATGTACACACTTACGAAGGGGAGCTATAAGTATCTGTTCCAGAAAGACGAATACTATGTGGTGGTGATCGGCATGGACAATGCTGGGAAATCGGTGAGTAGAGTACTTGTTATGGTGTTATCGATCTTGCTTTTGATTGCGATGTATGGCACATGAGAGCCGCATTGATGTCTCATTTATTTTTGCTTAGGATATGCAGCTCTGCATAAAGCGTCTGGCCTGGTCAGTTTCACGATGAATACACCTATAGCGGAATATATATATATATATATATATATGCATATATATATATATATATATATATATATATATATATATATATATATATATATATATATATGTATATATATATATATGTTATATATATATA